CAGCCAACACTGAACACTGGTGGTGGGAACAGAGCTTTTCTTGAAGAGAAGAACCCAAGATACCAGGGGTGTAGCAATAGCAGCCCATGCAGCTGCTATGGGGCCTAAGGGTAGGAGGGGGCCCCATGAAGGATTGCAGAAGTTACCGTTGACCCTGAACCGCGTAAGACATTTCCAATCAATAAGAGCTGACATCAGATGTATAGGAGGAGAGTATGCAATGCAGACAGCTCTTCTGCTACCCGTCCTTGATTTAGATTTTAAGGGGTCGTTGAAAGGGCCTTATCTAACTTTTTCTATGGGGCCCCATGATCTGTAGTTACTCCCCTGCAAGACATCCTACCTCCTAGGAAACATTTAGCCCAAATGGAGTTCTTACTTCCTGTGCCTACAGAGTGTGGAGGACCTTATCCTTCCGTTTACACCCTCCTAGGGGCAGCACTACTACCCCAGTGGTCTGCGGTCTTCCCCAATAAAGATACAAAGCAGCTGCCACGGCTGACTTGCATTTTATAGGTGTTAGCTCCAGTAGCTGCATGCTGGTTAGCAACTCACTAAATCATGGGGAAAGGATGAACATGACAGACCTAGGCTTAGGCTGCATGTGGATTTCTACCCTAAAAGGATTGCAGAGAAAAGTCCCTTATGTGTGAGATAAAATCATGATCAGTGAAGAGGCTTTGCTGGTAACCCCTTTGGAATGGAGGAAGGACAACAGGAGAAGGGCTCAGTTACAGGAAGTGGCATTATGAAAACCGGCACCCCAATCTTTATATTAAATGTCACCTAGATAATGTGGAGGGGAAGTAACTGCACCCCAAACTCTACCTCAAACGTCACCTAGATAATGTGGAGGGGAAGTAACTGCACCCCAAACTTTACCTCAAACGGCACCTAGATAATGTGGAGGGGAAGTAACTGCACCCCAAACTTTACCTCAAACGGCAGCTAGATAATGTGGAGGGGAAGTAACTGCACCCCAAACTTTACCTCAAACGTCAGCTAGATAATGTGGAGGGGGAAGTAAAAACGCCTGTTAGGTTTAGTAGAGCGAGCGTTACCTGGGCATACGGTGCGGTGGCACTCGGCTGGATGCTTTGTGAAGAATCTCTTCCAGCTGTGATACAAAGACAGAAATTACACACTCTTCATAGCTTCCAACCTTGGACATGGACCACCACCCCCAACATCATCATCCCAGACACAGGACCCCTGCAGGAGGTGAGGACAGGAGGTGATGGATCCAACGAATGGCTTGGTCTTGTCATGCAATGGTGAGGAGATCCTGGAATTTGCACAGGCAAAAAAAAAAAGAGGGGGTGATTCCCCGGAGGAGAACCCGCGGGTCGTACCCGAACAATAATAGTAGGTCTGTAACCGGGGCATAGAAACAAAAAGAGCTGCCTGCCTCTGGAATGTATGCAGACAAGAGTGAGGTCACTTCAGACCAATGATATGAATATAAATACCAGCGCTGACTCGCCGCTGCTCTCCCTCGCCGAAGGTAAGTGAAGGAAAAAAAACATTTATTTTAAAAACTACGCAGAGCCCGAAAACAACAAAGCTGAAAGGAACAAAAAAGTGGATGGTGTGCGGAGGAGGGGGAATTGAAGAAGAGGGGAAGGGGACAGCAGCCAAAAACGTAAAATACACTATGCAGCTTACATGCTGATAGGGAGCAGGCCCAGCGCTACAGGGGGTTGGGGGGGGGGGCGCAAAAATGCAACTTTGCCTGTGTAGGCAAAAATCCTCGCA